CGGCTTCAGGACAGGTATTTTAAACACCTTAAATACTCCACAGGAAGAGAGGAAAGCTGCTTTCCAAAGGAGAAGAATAGCAACCTATAGCTGTGGGTAGACCCAGTTAATCTCCTGTTATCTGTTACGATAGCCAAGTTATGCTCTTATCAGTGTCAGTCGTGTCCCTGCCAATGCAATTACAAAGCCTCATTGGCTTGTATCTCATAGTGATTTTGCTGCTGCCGAATTCCCCTGGCTGGAGAGGGGCAGGGGCTCTGTCTGCAAAATGGCCTGACCCAAGCAAACCTACTCCCTGCTGCAGCAAAGCTCGTTGTTGTGATCCCTAATCATCCCTAATCCCAGTGCTTGATTCCCCTGATTATGTGTCAGAACAGGAGTGTAACCTATTTAAAAGGAGATGTTTTCAAATCAGCAGCACATCCTCTCATTAGTTAAGTTACGAGGGTCTGACACAAAAGGTGTCTGAAATGTCTCTGGACTGCAGCACAGGAAGACAGCATGTGTCTGTCAGGATAACACTTAGCTCAGATTGGCCTGTTTGCCCTATTTTTTAGCTTTTTGGCTACTGTACAGATAATAGAACCCCCCCAGAGCAGAGGAAGTCTGGCACTGAGCAGGATTCTTTCGAGTAATACATGGCCCCGGTGGGTATTAATCCTAGTTTAGACAGGTGTATGCTAGTGGTCATGGAAACTAAATATAGATTTCCATGTTAAAGGTTTAGTTTCTATAATGTCATTTTATGAAATGCCAGAGAGTCTGCAGTCTGCAGTTGTCCTGTGGTGAGGGGGTTCATGAACAGCAAAAAGAAAAGCCACAAGAAATTGTTAATGTTGGGTCTGGGGGATCAAGTAATTGGCAAAAAAAGTGTTTACAGAAACATTTAAGATAAGATTGAGACTTTGCAAGTATTTCTGCATGCAAATCACTATGTTGATATATCCAAATACTGCTGAACACCAAACCAGGTGGTCCCAACCATAACTAGAATGGAGCTGACTCACCGGACTTATCTGTGACTGTTCATTTATGAGAACAGCTTCATTTCTTCTGTTTGTAGGCATGATTTGCTTTTCTAGCCACCAGATCAGATCACAGTTGCATCTTGTCTTGTGTCAACACAAATGTGTCCCTGTCCTGTTTAAAATCATTCTTTGCTTCCCGTGTCTTCTGTGAGTTGTGTCATGGTGGGGAAATCTCCATGGGCTTTGATTTCCCCTTAGTTCTTACTTCTCCTCTACACATGTTACCGTGCTGATTTGTCTTTTCCTCATGCTGTAATTGGGCTGGTGCCACTGTGTAATTTTTAACTGTGTGCACTATCAACAGACCTCCATCTGTCTCTCCTCCACAGCTTCCCAGCCTGCCGTTATAAATATCTGCCAAATCCTTCTCCAAAGAGAGGATCACCAGATTCCAACTGTTTGCAAAATAAGAGCCGCCGCCAGAAATCCTCTCCCACCGTCTGCAACCTGTGCAGAACCTGTCCCTGCTCGGTGTGAGGTGTCACTGCTGGCTCTGTAACTTATTGTCCCTCGGAAGCGTGCACTGCTGCACAGGGCTCAGCATATTGGTCTGTTTGCTCGAATATCTCACTCACTGTGTGTGTCATTTTATTAGACAATAACCTTCAATAGCCATCAGGTGATAAAAACCAAACTAACTTGAGGGATGTTGGGTTTTTTCCCCTTTTAAAATGCAATTCTGATTTAAAACATGCTGTGGGGTGGCTTGGTTCCAGTGTTGTTTTATAAGATGCTTTACTTGATCAGGGACTCAGTGCTTGCCCCTTTTCCAGCTGTCACTTGGGTACTGGGGACCAGCTACTGTGATCTAAACTCAGAGGAACTGATAGGACTTGTTGACTGTTCATTTGTGTTGCTGAGAGCAGTTTGATCTTCCAACTCTATGCTTATATATCAGAATAGATTGTTAGAAGAATTAGCACCAAACAAGGCAATTTATTGATCAGATTGTGCATTTAAAAAAAAAACCAAACAACAAACAAAACAAAACAGAAAAGAAATTTTTAACGTGGATAAAATAAAATTATGTATAAATGCAGTTGGCTAAAGTAAAAAATATAGATTATGATGTAAGTGCACTTTAACCCTGTTAAAGCCATTCTCATGACATTCCATGGATGGCATTGATTCAGAGCTGTGTTAGGCTCATGTGGCTTCAGTTGTCTACCTTGGGCTACAATCCTCTCACATGTTAGTGTTTCCTTCTGGTATGGCACCTTACCAAGGAACCTCTTTAGGTGCTGCTGCAGACATCAAATTAATAATAAATGTCTGTTTGAATAAAAGTCTATCTAGCTAAAGTCAGATCCAAGGAACAAGATTCCTGTTCTGTCCATGGAATATTGTCAGAAGTCAGCAGAAGGGGTTTTCCAAGGTTATTTCAGGGTGTTTGGATCTGCTACATCTTAGTTCTGCAGAGCTCTGCAAAGGAACATAAGGATTGTAAAGCAGCTTGGGGGTTGATAAATCCTCCTTCTAGTCTATGTTCTGAGTAACACAGTATTTTCAAGAGACAGAGAAGTGGGTACCATATGTGTTTGACATGGGCAGGGACAATGTGGACAGTGGCTGGAGAGTGGTTTTTTGTAGCTAAGCAGGGGGAAGCACCAAAGAAACTTGGGAATTTGTTTCATGGTGTATTGTCGGGTTCACATACCGGCATTTCCATTGTCTAGATCTCACTGTGGATTTGGTGTCCAGTTTTGAAGGTTTTAGGACAATAAATTCCGTGATTTCTTAGGAGGGTCTGCTACCACTTAATAACACATTATGACAGCAGAAAAATATGTACAAACAAGCCTAAGCCTGCAGGACAGCTGTACTTACTCCCAAATGAATAATATCCCCAGCCATTGCCGGGGGTGGCAGGGAGTAAAGAGAAAAGTGGAATTGGAGCGACCGGACGATCGTGGCAGTGACGTGCTGACTGCAGGGGAGCTGGGCTGGGGGTATGGCTGTGCTTGCAAGATTGAGATCTAGCCCTTATTCAACTCTGATTTTCTGGAGCAGGATTTTCTTGTAAAGGAACAAACGTGATATGTTTTAAGCATTTGGGAGATAAAAAGCAGATGGCATTGATTAGCTAATTAGTAATATTTTCTGCAACTTATCAGCTGTGCTGATATGTGTAAAGTTTGCAAAACCTTGGGTTGAATCTTTCTCTCTTTGACTTGTTGAAGAAATCAACTATTTTAAAATCTGGAGGGGAGGGAAAGTTATGTAGAAATGTGTAATCTTATGCCTAGAAGAAATCTGTTAATCTTTTTCTTTGAATTTATATTCAGGGCTCATTCCTTCATTTTTTTAGGGGAACATGCACAGTGAGGTTGCAGCTCTCCTAACTCTTGCCTTGATTGTGTGGTGCATGGTGTGGGATGCCAGAGGTTCTGCTCTTCCATATTCCTCTTTGTGGGTGTGCTCATTCCTTCCAGTTTTGCATTTTTTATGGAGACAAAGCAAAATGCTATTTTTTATTTTATGCCAGGCTCACTTTTAGCTTGTGTCCTTGTGAACCCTTTGGCCACAGCAGGGCCCTATCAGGACTTCTGCCAAGTGTTGGCCACCTCTGTGGCCACCACTGTCACTGTGGTCAGTGCTGTTTTGGCCAGAGCGTCACTGGGGTGTTCAAGGCCACTCTGACCTTGACTTACATTGGACAATACCTTGATGTTGTCTCTATGATAGCAATTGTTCATCATTTAGGGCAAGATCAAGTGCCTTGCCAAGATGTTAATATAAGAAGGAATGTCTGAGAAAGAATATCAGGCTTTCAAACCCTGTTGGGTGCATAGCAAAGCCTTCATTCAGCCAAAACCCACAAGACTTACCCGGTTTCTCCAGCAGTGTGGAGAGCCCCAGGAGGGTTTGTGGGCAGATACCATCTCTGGTAGTCACAGTCGTGGGTGGACACAGCTTTGGTTTCCCAACAAACCCCATAATTAAGGCTTATTGCAAATTCTCTGGAGGTTTGAGCTGTGCACCAGCACCACCCCAAAGCCTTTGATGCACCACGGTCCCCATGCAGAAGCTGTATTTTAATTGCCAGCAGGTAGCAGGAGTGACGCATGAGCTGTCAGCTGGGCCACCTGTGGCAGTGGGGAATGAAAAAGAGCTTTGTTTTCCTCTCCTGGGGAACTGTCCTCCCTTGCAGATGCTCTGCAGACAGCTTTGCTGTGCTTATCTCCCACTGAAAACTTCAAAACAGGGCATAATGCAGGTTGAGGTGGGACCCAGACATTGTGTTGGTCAACTGCCCGGGTTGTGTTCCATCAGGACTGAAATTGCCACAAGTGAGACTTCTGTCTTAACATGGAACTTTGTATTTTCCATGGAGTGCAGTGTGGAAGCTTTACCCTTTCTATTTCCATCAGAATGACACTTTTTATTGTTTCTTAAACTGAAGAAACAACAAATTCTGCACCCTCTCTCAAGCACAGTCTTGTTAATGTTCTTTGAAACACGACATGTGTCGTGGCCATCAAACTGCAAAGATCCCATTGCTTCTGAAATGAGAAAAACATGTCACTTTTGGCTCCAAGTAACACAAAAAGAGAGGCATATTCTAGATAGGAGGTGCATGGCTGCCAAAGATGAAAGAAAAATATTATTACTTTTGGAAATTAATTACGATTAATGATAATTTAATGAAATGTCATTGTCTTCACCACTATCACTAATGAAATGTTTGAGAGTGATAAAACAGATCTTGTTAAATAGAGCGAGAATCTTGAGTGGAACAGCTTTGTGACAGCAGACTGTGTGCACAAGTCTTGAATTCCCATTTTTTTGTCACAGTAGTTTAAGAAAGAAGATAAAATGAAGGCTGCATGGCAAATAATGCACACATGAGGTATTAAAGGTCTTCCATTAAGCAAACAATTCTGAACTCCTGAATAGCATGCTGATGACTGAGCACTGCTCCTTAGAAATGCTAACCCTTCATTAAAACACTTCCCTTGTTTTCCTTTGCAGGCAAACCAGAGAACAAGAAACCCCGCCTGACTTTTTTTATTTCTCAGACTATGAGAGACATAATGCAGAAATAGCAGCATTTCATCTGGACAGGCAAGTAGAACGGATTTGCATTAGAAGAAAAGGGGAAATATTGTGATAAGTTGCTGCACTTGGCCAGCCCTGTAACTGAATTACTTTTAAAAAGTGGAAAGTTGAACAAAGGTGGGCAAACTTCATGAATAAATGAAATGGCAGATGATGAAAGGGTAGATTAATAATTAGGAAATGCGACTTGCTCTGGGAATGAGAAGCCTGGCAATAAGTAATTCTCAAAAAGAAGAAGTTATATTGAAGAGAAGCTGAGAAATTAATTTCCCCTGTGATCTCGAAGTACATATGGAGAGGACCCATCTCTGGGGGAATGTGTCATGTAAGTGTGAGGGGAGTCTGGCTCACCCCAATTAGCTCCAGGGCACAGAGATCCGAGTGAGATGTGGGGAGTGGTGTGAGCATTCAGAGGGGAGTAATCAAGGTGGGAAGGGAGTTCTGGTTTCACAGCAAAAAGCTGGGACTGTCCCAGATCAGGAGCACATTTAGGCCCCAAGTTAGTGTGAAGGAGAGGACATTGGTGGTCATCTCATGGTCCTGTCAGCTGAAAATGTCCCCCCAGGCAGAGATAGTGCAGGAGATGGTGGATACCCCAAAACTGGCAAGGGACTGCAGCCCTCTCAGCCTGCCCAGATTAGGGGTGGGAATTAAAAATTAGTGATTAACAATAGGGCCAGGAACAATGGCATTTCACAGACTGAGTCAGAATTGAAGTGTCTCTCACACTGTGAAGTGCTGAGAAACATCCTTTAGAAAGCTTGAAGCTTTGGGGCAACAAATTATTTGGGGGGTTGTGTAATATTGCTGCCTTCTGGGATGATGGTTGGGGCATGGGAACCTGTCAGCAAGTGGCACAGGGTAGGTTTGCTGTTAGGAGCCATCCTGATGAGATCCTTCAGGGATCTTCTCTATTTTATTGTTGTTGACCTCGGTGTTGATCCCTTCTGCTTTGTGTTTTATATTGCCATTTTAAGCAGATGGTGCTGTAGAAAAAAAGCATTAGTGGAGCTCCTACGGGGGGTATGTTAAATATCCACACACTAAGCAGGAAAAGCAGTTGCTACCCAGTGTAGAAAATCTGAACAGCAGACAGTGGATATAAAAATCCCGCCTATGGGGAGACTTTGTATGGGGCCTTTGCTCTTTTACTGTATCTAATAGCAGTGCTTAGTAGGGAGTTTTATGATCTATTAAGGCAGGGGAGTTTGGGGTAGAAAGAACCTCTTCTCCCAGCCTTTGCCCGTGGGAAAATTTTTAGTCTCAGGGAGATTGTTTAGGTTGGTGTAAGGGTATTAAAACAGAGAGGAGCAGAAGGAAATAAATCAAACACATACTAAGGCTGTCAGAAAAAGAATTACATGGTGTTTATGGAAGAAAGAGGCTGAAATCCCATTCCCCAAGTCACTTAAAAAACTGGTGAGCAAAATGCATGTCATAACAATCATGAAGTAGCACAAAGTGAAAAAATAAATTTCCACTGTCTCTTATTTCTGGAATTGTATGTGTCTTCATTTTTATCATGGAACAATGCCCCCCACACCCTTCTGTATTTTGCTCCATGCTATGTAGGCAAGTCAGAGCTCATCACATTCAGGACACATTTTGTAATATATTATATGAAGGATTATCCAGTTTAAAGTTGATGGGCTTTTTGCTACTTAAGGACCACAGACAAATGTGCCTTCAGAGTGTAATGAAGCTTCCTAAGACCTAACACTATCATTACATTTTAATCCTTTACATAAACTACCTCTTTTCTTTCTCTTCCAGGATCCTGGATTTCCGTCGTGTGCCACCGGTTGCAGGTAGACTGGTTAACATGACAAGGGAAATACGGGATGTTACTCGTGACAAGAAGCTGTGGAGAACGTTTTTCATCTCACCAGGTAGTCTTGGAAATAACACTGTATTCTTTCTATCCCGCCGAACAGATACTTAAGGGAACGATGTGTAGATTGCTTAATTGCTCAGATATTTCTAATAAAACTGTCTCCTAGACCTTTGAATAAAAATAAATGTGGAGACATAGCTTACAAAGAAGACTGTATTGTTTTGAACTGACTGCCTTTTCCCCTTGACAAATTATCCTCAGAGACAGGCTTTTATGTTCGCCAAAGCAATGTATTCAACAAATGTTTTATGTAGAACAATTTCTAAAGCAATTTTCTGTTGCTCTCAGTTTACCCTAAACCTTATTACCTGGCCCATTAGTTATCTAGATTTTTTTTCCTACTGCAGTGTGATCTGTCACTTCTGTTGGTCAGATGAATGTATTTCTGGTTTTGACTGGAGGACCAAAACCTAATTTTCTCAGAGTCATTTAGGTTTTATTACAACAGGAGTTTGAAAAAAAAAAAATCAAGAAAGATGCATGACATATCCTGCCTTCAGCTTGAAATCTCTGCTGGGCAGAGGGCAGACTAGAAACGATCTGAGTTGTCCCCAGTTCTCGCTCTTGCTTAGAGGGCTGATCCAGAAACCAGTACCACTCTCTATTACTCTTCACTCTTTCACAACATCTTGTGGACCCAGTAAAGGATGGAGCTCCACAGGGTGGGAATTTTACAAACACAGGATAAAACTCTGCCCTGCTCACCAAAAGGTACAACTGGAATTGGGAAAAATGGCCAAAGGGTGGGAAAAAATATCAATATCTCTGTAGCATCTGAGATGTTGAGATGGAGAAACAAGAGCTTTGAGTTAAGGCACGAAAATAATGCTTAAGTTTGTTCTTACATGTAGAATATGTAGGTTAACATTCAACTTAAAGCATAGTGCTGTGTTCCAGTAGCTTAACTCACACTATTTCAGCTGTGTGCAAATGTGTGTTGCTGAACCCAGGCTGTGACTTGTGTAAGAGGCAATCTGGAGCAGAAACCTCCAGAGATCTCTTCCCTTGCTCTGTGTGTGATTGGCCAGAAGCTGTTTATCCCAGGTCCCTAAAGTCAAGATCCAAACACTTAATTACAGTTTCTCCCAATGTAACTGCAATTTATTGCCATTAGTGAGAAACCAGAGCCCTGTTGTTGCAGTGCTTTCGCTCTTAAAATGTTTATCACACTTTTCAGATCCCCAATAAAGTCATTATTACGGCTGTTATTTTTAGCTTCATAGTTGTGTTCAGCTCTGCAGGACACGGTTGAGCAGACAGTTATTTATTACAGTAACTTCCCTTGTAAAATACGTTACATAATTACAGAAGGTTTCGTCTTGCCCCGTATTATGAGCACTCCAATTTTACAGGCACAGTTACGGTGACAGCAGTGACACTACACAGTGACAGTACACGGTGACAGTACATGGTGACAGCGTGTGTTCACCAAACCTGATGGGCAGACATTCTTGTATTTGCATCAGTTGCTTTCCCTCCCTCTCTGTCTCTCTCTTTCTACTTTTTTTTTTTTTTTGACTTGGCTTTTTGTGGGCAAATAATCACACAAAAATGATGGCAAAAAATCTTGTGACTGTCTAAGTGCACAAGGTGCTTTGGCTCATTTAAAACATAAGTAATTTTATTCCCATTTTGGTAAGAAAGACACGGATTAGTAGGTTTGCTTGATTTTTAATCTTCCCACATTATATTTCAAGGCTTAGGGGTGAACTTCAATGATTTCTGAGAATTACAAAACTGTTCTCAAGTACTGAGAAGCTTACAGCAGCCAGAGCAGGGCAACACAGAGTTAAGGCTGCCAGTTCAGATGAAGATCTTTATCTTGTCATTATGAAATTCCAGACATCCAAGGGATGATCCAAACATAATCCTTTATTCAAATTTATTTAGAGGCCTCAGATAAATTCAATTAAAATACTTGATTAGCTATGAATCAGGCTTTTCTGGAGAATAAAGTGCTTAAGCAATTAATTTTTTCTTTCCCTTTTACGTTTCCTAAATCAATATACTTTGCTTAAATCATGCTGGTTACTTGTCAGAGTTCTTCCCTACAAGTCCCCAGTTTAATTAGTCAGATTCTCATTAGCGTATGCCCAACCTTTGTCTTGTATTTCATACTGACCTTAAAAGGCAGACATTAATTAATGCTTTATGAAAAAATAATAAAGATCCTAAAGTAAGCATTTAGAAACAACTTCACAAGCCTAGCAGGCAGCTCAAGCAGCAGATTGAGGGCAGAGAAGGAAGAGGCAGGTGCAGGGGTGAGACTCGTGGTCTGGAAAGGTGAGGATGGAGAGGGAAAAGGGAACCTGGGGAAGACTGGAAGAGGCTGATTTGTCCCCTCTGGCAGATGAAGGGCAGTTGGTTTTGATGAAGAACTGCTCACCAAGCTGAGAACTTGAAGTGTGACATATCATACTTGCACAAATACAGTCTGTGCACCTATTGAGGACCTTCTGGGACTCCCTTTCAGGTGGCTTTGTCACTACATCTCTATCCCCAGAGGTGCTCAGTGACAATTAATGGTCGTGCTGGCAATCCCTCCCTCTCCATGCACACATATACCTCTCTTAAAATTAAACAAGCACTAAATGAAATGGATTTTATAGAACGCTCTCCCCCTCGGGATGGGAGCCCATGGTTTGCAGTGGGAACCCTCAGAGGGTGGGCATTGATGATGCTCATCACTGCACTGTGTTATTCCCTGGACCAGCATGAGGATGTGTTGGTAGAAACCTACTGCATTTCCACTCCTGGGACACTTCCCTTGTCCCATCAGACATGGAAATCAGAGCCAGGGAGCTGCAGGCAGTTGTACTTCAGAGCACAGCGCCGAGCAGGATCCCTTCTTCCACTGGAAAGTGGTGATGGCTCTGAGCAGGCAGGTCAGTTGATGCATTAGGCTGCACTCAGAGAGGAAGCAGATTGCAGAAAAGTGCACTTCCAGGCAGCTTGGACTTAAACATGAAAAATGGAATTAGGTCAGTAATTATTTAAATTAATTTTACATCCTTTGCAGTAGGGCAGACTGCAGTAGCCCTGCTACTCTCACAAATGAATGGTAATTTGCTAGGAAAAAAGAGACATATTAATGATGTCAGCCTTCGTTTTGGAAGTAATTGAGGCAGCAGCTTAAAGAAATCAATGTTACACAGCTAGTAAGCATTATATTTTTGTTCATATTAACCAATTCCAAGGGATTATGGATTCTTTTTCCCTTCTCAGCATACAATAGCAATTCTGAATTACCTATTATTTTGAGGAGGTAAAGGAAAGATCTTTTCATGCATTGCTTTAGTAAATATTCAGTATTCTTTCCAGTATTCCAATTGGACAGGCTTGCTAAATGTCCTCTATTAACAGTCACGCAAAGCTCAATGAAAGAATTGCTCTGCCAAGCAATTTGCTTTAAGGTATCCTCCCTTGTTCCTTTTCTTCCTGAGAACTATTGTTCAGCTATCAGGATGATGCCCAGAAAATGTGCAGATGAGTACTCAGACACTCTGGTTCTTAATTGTTGTAATTAGTTGGAGTTTCGATCACCAGACCATGATTTTTGCATGCATTTCATTATGAATCGTAGCCATTCCTCCTCAGATAATGAAAATCAGACATTGCAACATGGGATTCTCTTGCCTTTCTAGTGCTTTGGGGAAACAATTTTGCTTTATAATGAAGAAGGAGTTTGCATGTTGCAAACTCGCAGCATTTGAACATTTCAGCAAGTATAAACATCCCTCCCTGCCTGCTTTGCCAGCACTGCTGCTGTTGCCATTTCTACCCACTCTGCAGGAGCACAAACTCCTGGCTGTTTCTCCTTTTGTGGGTGTACTTATACAGAAACATCTTTATCTGGTGAGAGGAACATAAGATTTGGGCAATTTTAATGGTAGGAGAAGGACCATGCTCCAGTAGGGAGCTCATCTCCCCTTTCCCTGTTATTTTGCCTTGGGAAAGCCAAATCCTACTCTCAGCATGGGATGGCCATGAAGTGCTGGGCTTGTGTCTCTAGCTGGAATTTCACCCTCAGCCTGCTGTGCAGAATGTGGGTCACCTACTTAGGTTTCAAAGAGCCTTGCTGCTGCACCTTGAAGTCTTAAATGAGAACTGTGGGTTTCTATATTTGGTACCTCTTTTTTTTTTTCCTACATTTTTAAGAAACCTTAAAAATGAATGTTTCCACAGATAATTCAGGCTGCTTCATCTTACTGCCAGTATATAAGAACTAAGGTAGACATAATAAGATGTCTATTTTGTATCAATCAAGGCAGTTAATTTCATTAGCAGTAGTTTGAGATACAGCATCCTTTCACCTCCACTCTCCCCAGAAAATGGACAGGAGCTGTGGAGACTAGGTCTGAGCCCACAGGAAGAATAACTGCTGGCAGAAAAAGCTTTGCCATTGAAAAAAACTTCTCAGTTCTCGGTGAGAAATACACTTTTGGTTTTACTGCAAGTTCACTGCCTTAATGACAGGATGCATCTTGCCATTGCTGGGGGGACTGGATGTCTTGGTGCAGGGAACTGGGGCTCTGTGGGAAGATCAGTAGCTGGTGGATCCTGGCAGGGATGAGCAGGATGAGTGGCTGGAATGGTGCAGGCAGCACACGTGCTCCCTGCATCACTCTGCAGCAGCAAATGCCATCACTGCCACAGCCCCCGAGCCTTCCTCGAGATTTATCTGGATACCAGTGTGTGATTACTGTCAAATGATTAGTCCCAGTTGCTTTCATTGACAACACAGAGCAGGGTTTCATTGTTCCCAAACTTAAATTCAGAAGCAAACTATTAAACACAGTATTTATCTTCCCACTGAGCAAAATGCTGTGTTTAATACAATTCCTTTTTTGAAAGGTCAGATTTACATAGCGAGCAGCAGAGGCTGTGATGGCACAGGGTGGGGGGCATTGCTGGGCCTTTTGCTCTTTGCAAAACTGTTGTGGTGTCAGATAACTGAGCATTGGCTTCCTGCTGCCAGGTGGGAGTCAGGTCACAGATAGCCCGGAACATAAATTGTGCCAGGCGGTCACGATAAATCCACGTGGTTCCCTCCCTCCACAGATGAGGGGGTGATGCTGAGACAGCTGAATTGAAGCCCAAGCCCCACTGCTTAAAATCCATGGAAACACAAACCTTGGCTGCAGCACAGGGAAAACCTGACCTTCCCACTGAGGCAGCTGGTGCCCAGGAAAGAAGAGATCTCTGTATTCCCTAACTCTTCTGCTTTAGCCTGCAGCAAGCAGCATCTGCATGTGATTTCTTGTAAATCATCCCTTGTGGCAGCTTGGAACCCCTTGAAATATTTTATCTGCAATAATTTCTTTTAAGGATATAAATCACAGATGTTTTCCCCCAGTTTTTGTTGGCTGAGAATATCCCAACGTTCCTGATGGCCCATCTGCAGCCAGCAGTACTGCCCACAACTGCTTGGACAACTCTTTACCATCATCCTGAATGATGGAACAGGTTCACAGGGAGACACGAAGCCTTCCTGGGTTTGCCAGGATGGTTAAAGGTGAAGCTGAGGCACCTGTGTTAGCCCTGCAAAAGCTGTGCCAAGACCAGCTGCCATTTTTGAAAAGGAAACCCATGAATGGTTCTAGACTGCAGGGCACCGTGCCCAGGACTTGCCTTAGATTGGGTTTGTCTGGGGTTTGACTTTATACTTGATTTTAGATTAATGAGATGAGTCTGAAAGAGGCTACTGAGACAGTCCTGGAGCTGGTGGACCTGGTGCACAAGGAGAAGCTGAGGGCTGCAGACGTTTTTAACCTGGAGAAGCTGGCCTGGAGCTGTAGCTTGGACCAGAGGCCTCCAGTGATGTGCAGGGCCACGTGCTGCAGGGCATCACTGTGATGAAAACCCACCAGCTTACCTTTCCGAGCCACCAGGTCTTCCGTGGCAGCCAGAAAATCACCTCCCTCTTTTCCCAGCCCTTCCTGCCTCCTTTATACTGAGCCTGCCCAAAGAGTGAGGAGCTCAGAAATAATATTTGAATTTAGAAGCCTAGTGGGGAATTAGGATGCAATGTGACTTCTCAGCTTCATGCATTACCATGAGGAAAGGGCACACTCTTCCTCTAATGACATTTTATATGCATAAAGCAATGTCAAAAGAGTTGTAGCACACTGACAAGAGCAGCAGTGTGCTCCTATTCCTGTTTGTAGCCCAGCGTTGGTGGGCTTTGGGGATGAGCTGCTCTCTCTCACCTTCAGTGAATTCCTGTGGGCAGGGTGTTCCTGTAAAGAGGTGGGTGTTCCTGTTGGTACAGAAATAGGTGGTGGCGGTTTTGGGGAGGTTTTAAGGTAACACAAGTTCCAAAACCTGCTGCAGATTCTTTTTCTGCGGTTGTTGGAGTAGTGTGAGGTGTGGAGGAAGAAATTTGTGTTTGGGATGTGTGCTGACAGAGTTACATCTGTGCTATTTCCACCTTCTACACACACCCCCACGGGAGCCTGCATGGTAAATAATTCTCCGTACTAAAACTGCCAGTTCTTCTCACACCAACAAGGCAACAAGTAAATGAATGAAATGTTCTCTGTTCTTAAAGAAACGAGCCAAGGTTTTGAAAAATTACTTAATTTTGGGCATGTGCCACTTGTTCAGCTGTGGGATTTGGGGTTCCAGCCTGGGGTGACAGATAGAACCCAAAGAATGTATCAGTCTGGGGGGAAAAAAAAGGAGAAAGAGAAGGATTTAAAAAAAAAAAAAAAGCAACGTGGTTTTGGAATATATAAATAGACTGGAAATAGTCACAGAAAGCTCAGCACAGGGCGTGATCACAGCCACTGAAATGAATGTCTTTCTAGTGGTTTCAGTGGAAGAAAACTATGTGTGGTAACAGGGTTTTGGATTTATTTCTGCTCCTACATACATCAGTGCTTTTATGAATTCTCAAATACTAATTTAAGGGTAGGTTTTATAACTCTTTTCCTTTATTTGCCAGCCAACAACATCTGCTTCTATGGGGAATGTTCCTACTACTGCTCAACAGAGCACGCCCTGTGTGGAAAACCAGATCAGATTGAAGGGTCTCTGGCTGCTTTCCTACCAGATTTGTCTCTAGCAAAAAGGAAAACCTGGAGAAACCCTTGGAGACGTTCCTACCACAAGCGCAAGAAAGCAGAGTGAGTAGTGGTGAGCAAAGGGAGGGCAATGGGAAAATAAACCAGTGCTGCAGTCACTGCCCTGGCTGTCCTGGCCTTAGGACAGCGTCTGTATTTCTCCATCTCCTGGGAAGGGACAAGGCATTTAATATGCCAGGAGCTCCAGCTTATGGTCCTGAACCCAAAAGGACCTTCAATGGCATAATTCCCTCATGGGACAAATACCTCCAGTGGCATTGACAGGATGCAACGGGACCTGTCTTAAGTCCTATCAGAGGGAGAAAGATTCACTGCTATCAGCAGCCCTAAGCAAGTCTGAGATGTTTTCATCATATGACTGATGGTGCAGCTAGTCTCCTAAATCCTGAAGCTATTAGCCAGATAGTTTTCAATCTTGTGGTTTTCTTCCCTCTTCATCAGTCACAATCTTTCTCGGTTGCCTGCATTGCTGGAAGCAGCCTGAGGAATTTGCTGCCTCTACCTGACCCTGCCCTCAGTCCAACATGACACAACTAGATCTTTGAAAAATAACTTTTTTTTTTGTAATTTTCAGTAAGCTTTGTATGTCACATAAAATATCAAAACATTGCCTTTTCCAGATGGGAAGTTGATCCAGATTATTGTGAAGAGGTTAAACAAACTCCCCCGTATGACAGTGGGACCAGAATTCTGGATATAATGGATATGACAGTTTTTGATTTCCTAATGGGTATGTTTCATCTCTTTCAAAAATTAAATGCAACATTTAATTAGAATAAGAACCATTTCTTTCTACGTTGCTTGCATAGCTCAGCAGTTTGCTAAAGCGTGGCTGAAGCTGCATTTAGTGTATGTGCCATCCTAGATGATTATGAGAAAATGCAGATTTACATGGTTATGTATTCCCATCAGTGCAGATTAAAGGAACAAAGATGTTCAGAAATGCAGAGTGATGATGAATGCAGGTCAGGCCAGTCTCCTTCACAACAGTGAAGGGCTTCACAGTTTGCTTTAGTGAGTGCTTTACCACTGTAATGTATGGCTCCTGGAGGCACATGCAAGGACTGCTCATTACTGGATCTTTGTTTTCATCCTGCAGTGGTGTTCTCTGCTCCTTGCTCTATAAAATGTCGGGGAGAAGGGGGGGAAGAGGCATTGCTTTGTCACAAAGGAAGCCGTGGTATCTATCAGGAAGGTTTTATCTGCTTATGCAACAGAATCAGAATAAAATAATTATTAACAACTGGGTAATAGTGACACATTCCAAGCCCAGTCATTGGTTAACACTGAGACATTCTCATATGAGATCTGTTCTGCTGTAGCTAATACACCTGTAAGTTGCCAGCCTGCATACTTGATCCTTGGGCAGATGCCAGCGTGGACATATCCTCTGCCACTGCCCCCACTGAGATTTCTGCAATAGGCTGCAGCAGGAGAGGCCAAGTCACAGCTCAGGAGCCATATGTGGCATCTATAAGTAGCTCCAGACCCCTGCCATGAAGACAAAACTCACATCTTGGCACCAGTACTCTGCACATGGACCTTAAAGAGCAGGTCCCACGGCTGCCTGCCTTGGTGCCCAAAGGGGCTGTGCAGCTGTACAACTGCAGAACCATCCTGATCCATATGTTAGAGCCATGATACTGTTTTGGCCTTCCAGGCAGTCAGAAATTTGGGCAAAGTTCTTAATAGAGGAAAACCAGGATGTTTGGTCAGGATTCAAAGAGTTTAATGCAATATTAACAAAGTCCTATGGATTAACAGCCCTGCTTGAGGCATTTGCCCCTCCCTAAGCCAAGGCTCACGCATCACATGTGCTGTGGCTGCTTCACACACCGTGCTGACCCCAGGCTGGAGCAGCAGGGCTTGTTTCCACCATCTTCCAGCATCACACACTTCGGGGTATCCATGGGAGAAGCGAATGAGCTCAGTAAATCCATTCCCTTCCCTGCCCTTCACAACCGTCATGTGTGAGGAGCACTGGGCTTCTCATTGAACTGGGGCCTTTGCATTGCCCTGACCTGCAGGCTCAGCAGCAAACCAGGGTGAGAATGACCTGTTTTCCTCTTTATTCCATAGGTAACATGGATCGACATCACTATGAAACCTTTGAGAAGTTTGGAAATGAAACGTTTATTATCCACTTAGATAATGGAAGAGGGTAAATATCTTTAATAATCTTTCTGGGGAAAAAAAAAAAAAGAAAAAGTGAGTCTTTAAAACATCCTTTGTCACGTTCTTGCTCTTATCTTTAAATAGGTTTGGAAAATATTCCCATGATGAACTTTCCATATTGGTGCCTTTAAACCAGTGCTGCAGGTATGTTTCACCTCTGGAGTTGTTTCCTGGTTTATACAGTTTCCACTAACAGGACTGAAAATGTTCAAGTGATTCTGTTAATTGTACACCATGGAGATGAGGACATGGTGTGATCCTACCCATGGAGCCTGACTTTAGCTGTCCCTGAGCATTGGCATTGACACATTAAATGCTCTGTTGAGATCAGGACCTTGCAGGAGTGTGGCTATGAGCTGTCAGAAGAGAGGTTTGAAGACAAAATATCCACAGAAGTCAAGTGGCAAAACTTATCCCAGCTTGTTTGGGTGCTTCACCACAGCTTTCCTTGGTGCCCATAGCCAGGGTTTTCAGAGAGGACAGGTGATATTTTGAGTTTCAGCTTTGCACAGCTGAGATGCAGGGTGAGCTCTGTGTCTGGGGAGTCTCTTGGGCATCCCTGCAGGGTGAGCTATCACCCATCCCCCTGCTCAATGCCACGTGTGTCATTGCCAAGATGGACATGACCCTGTGAATGCTGCACCAGCTCCTGTTGGTGCCTTTCCCAGCTGAGGAACACGAGGTCTGCCTGCACTTCAACACCGAGCTGTGCTCCAAAACCTCTCCACCTCTAAGGGCCCCTGGGGATCACTGGCCAGGTGACAATGCCAGCTGCTCATTAGGACTGAGACAGTGCCTGGTTCTCATCATTTCAGCTCACATAATACGCTTTTTACACTATTAATGCAATTCTGACTATAAGCCTTTTAGCCCTGTCAAGACCAAGGGTGATGAAAATACTGATTTGCATTTTTTCCTCTCCTTTTTCTCCTAGAATAAGGAAGTCTACCTATCTGCGATTACAGCTGTTAGCCAAGGAGGAATACAAACTCAGTCTCTTGATGAAAGAATCTTTGCTAAAAGATAAAATAGCTCCGATTCTCTACCAGCCTCACTTGGAGGCGATGGACAGGCGGCTACGGATTGTCCTCAAGGCTGTTAGTGACTGTATAGAAAAGGATGGTTATGACAATGTGGTTGAAAATGACTTTAACACTGATGTTAACACTGTTACGACCGAGAGGTAGTGAAATCGCAAGACTACGTTTTTACCAGCCGAGTGAAGAAGATTCAAAGAGGAAAAAGAAAAAGAAAATAAAAATTAAGTCTTGCAAAAGACTGTGTATGCCACTTTGTGAATTCAGTGAATTCAGAAATGAGATATAATTGTTCCCAAAGTAGGTAAAGTGTAGACTCTGCAAAGGATTAGTTCATTAAGAAAAAATAAGTCTAATGTGATGCTTTTCATTAGTTCCTGAAGAGAGATTATGAAAAGATTCAGAAAATACTCAGATCATTGACAGACAACAGTCTGATAGCAAAACACCTCCTGTCCTTTTTTGTATAGAAAGGAGGCCTTTACTTAATATTTTGTATTTATATATGGTATATCTATGAAACCCCAGACCTACCTACCAAATTTAACTAAGAGGGATGGCATAGTTTTGTGACTCACACTTTATTTGTGGTGACAGTCCACTTAGTATTTTGTGTTAACCCTTTAAGTGCTCTAATCCACTGTATCTTATTTAAATTGAATGCTTTTTTCCCCCCAGCTACTCAGCATTTAAAGGGTTAAGGCATTAAGAACCTTTAAAGGCAAAAAATAATAATAATTATAATTATAATAATAATAATAAATACAGTGGTTACCAGAAGGGAATTTCACTAATTGTGCATTGACAGGAATACTTGAATGTTGGTTTTACAAAGTGATGTAAAATGACAAGTTGTACTATTTGTCCATAAGGAGGTGGCAGCTCTTATCTTTCTAGACTATCATAGCTGAGCTGCTACTTTTCAATTTTGCTTTTGATAGTTTTGTGTAAATATATACATATATGGGTAAAAAGCTGCTTTCAGCAGCTCTAGGCTTACTTTTGCAGCATTTTTGTGGAATTGTTTGCAACGTGGTAAAAGTGCAATAAAGATATGGCAAAATGTGTAGCCATTGTGTGTAAATGGATTCATTCATCTTGTTCAGAGCAAAGCTGCGTGCATCAGCCAAGTGTCCCAGAAGTGGTTGTTTAAATTGTCATCCCCTTTTGTAGCAGCAGCAAATGGAGCAGAAGTGGGGAATTGGTGATTAATATACACTGCAACTCTGATAAGGACCATGGTGTTGAAATGGCTAATCTTTCATATGAAAGCATTGTTTTGACTGTCATTTCAGCATCCCTTCCTCCTGCAATTATAGCTGTAGAAACAAGCTGTAGAGCAACGCCTCTGAAAGATTATGGCTTGACATGCTGCCCAGAGGATTTAGACACATCAATGCCTCTGACTTGGGCAGCAAAAGCCCGTGCACAACCTAGAAAATCTTAGCCTAAATTAGCTAGAAACATGCTATTCTTATACTCTTAACCAAACAGTTTTGAATCATGTTCAGCTGCATTCACGGGAGATGTGTGGAGACTTTCAGCCCCAAAGCAAGCTATAAATTGAACACGTGGCTTTATTTGACTTGTGAAAACATGGTGTGGTACAGCAGGAATCCCTTATTGCTCCTTTGGGTGAGGAGAGAATTTATTATGACAATATTCATCACCACTATAATTCAAAGCTGCCGTTTGTTTCTTTTGATGTCTTTCTTCTCAGGGATTCATAAAGATATACTTTAAAAGCTTGTAGCCGGATAGACTAAAATGTGGGCCTTTCAGCATATTAAAATTATGAATGGGACAAAGAGCTGCTATACGGGCTCACTCACTTCTTAGGTTGATATATTATTACTAAAAAAACCCATGTCTTTTATATTTTATGGCCCATTTCAAATTCCCACGTCTCTCACACACATAGCATACAAAGATAACATAGTATCTCAAATTGTACAACTGTCCATGAACTTGGAAAATTTCTGTATTATCCCATGGCTTCTTTTTCACTTTAGAGGACTGACCAATGATAACATGGATGTCATCTGCAACACAGCACTGGCACTGCAGCACTCTCCCCCCATTAGCCAAAAAACCCCCCAAAACACAGGATTATAAAAAGGTGAAATGGGTGGTACTATCCTTGCTTTAGCCTCAGTGCCTGGCTGTGGTTTTCCTGCAGGTGCAGCTTTTTCTCACAAGGAGATAGTGCCAGGACAGCAGATGGGGGCTATAAAATCACCTTCCTGGGGCTGCTCTGCTTTTTGCTTCTGCAGTCAGCTCAGCAAACCTGGTTTTCTTTTGGAAAGTAGCACTTGGCAGACTCCTAGCTCAGAGAGGAGCAGATACAGTGGAAGCCTTTGCTCTTTAGTAGCCAGGTATAGTCAGGAGCTCCTGGCAGGGTGGTTCAAGCCAAAGGCGGCTGCCTGGTGCTGTCAGGGACACGAACTTACTGTTATGAATCTAATTCTGAATTTCTATAAGCAAAACTAGTAGTGCTTTTATAGAATAAGTATTGTTTCTTATGGAGTAAGTAGTGTTTGTGTAGAATATACAGAACTAAAGGTCATTAATCCTTGCCATATTGTAATGAGTTCCGAGGGTCTCCAGTTTCCTTCCTGTCCTGAACTTTGATGTAGACCTATAAAAGTTCTTTTCATTTCCAGTGTTAAATTAGGCATACAGAAAAGCTGAAGGGGAGGCTTTTCTTTGGCATGAGACATACAAGTATCTTGGAAGAAGGGAGACACCAGCTAACATGCTGGGAGGGTTTCCCTTCCTCAGTGCCTCTGATGAGAAATTATCGCCACCTGGGCAGTGCAGCCTAAAAACACTGTGGGGTGCTCAGGCAATTAATGGTAAGAGGTGAGTTCAGACCCCACCCATGGTCAGGGTAGCTGAGGACATGGGCTGAACTTGAGGATATTGCAAGGAGTGGAAGGGATGATTAATTAAACAGGCTGTGGAGTTGCTTCTTGGTATCCACCAGGAAGCTCTGGTGTGTTTGCATTCCTGCTGCCAGGCAGCTGGAGCTTTGGCTCATGTTCATTTTCTAGGTATTTGGGAAGGGAGAAGAGTTATTGCCTTGTTCTGCTATTTCTTTTTTATTAGAGCAGGGGTGAGTGGGCACAAGAGACAGGAAACTGGAGATAGGGAGTGAACTTGGGGCTCTGTCAGCTCTTGGGGTAACACAGCCTCGAGGATGACTCTGTGCAGCCCAGGCAGAGGCAAACCCCTACTTCTGAGGTGCATCTGCATTGCCCCAAGAAACAGCTGGCTTGAAGTTCTTCTGAAAACCTCATGGGTTTGCCTTTAGGCAGAGGGTGTTGCTCTCCCAGGTGAAATACATCCTTCTACAAGAGATGAGAGTTTTCCAGCTCTCCCAGCAGCAGGCGAGATTTGAGGGTGTCTTTGCACAGACACAGCTCATTCTTGGGGTCCTGGTGGGGAGGGCAACGTGGGTTTGGTGTGCAGAGGTTGTGCACCTTGGCAGATTGCAGCTGTGGGAGATGATGGCTCTGAAAGGGCTGTCACTGGGCATTTGGTCAGTAATCCACGAACTAAGAAGGATTAGTATGACATGGTGTAACATCTCTTTAGGAGCCCTACATATTTACCAGACAAAAAGATTTGCTTTAAGAAGATAAATAAATGTCAGAATTCAGTTGGTTTGTCTCAGAGTCTTGAAAATGGGTGTAGCAGGAGAACCCAGACAATTAATGACCTGAGAAATCTGCAGTAGTCTGTCAGGGACATAATGAGTTCAGCACAATAAATAGAGTATGCACAATAAATAACAGATAAAAATAGATAATATACTTCTAAAAGCACCTAATTACAACTGTATCTGACAGCTTAGAATAGCTTACTGTGCTCTCCTGAGTAATTCAGATGAGAGCCTCATTTGCTTTTGCGGTTTTTCAGTTATTTAAGCATCAGAGGAAATTCACACAAGTTAAAGGGGAAAAGCTCTGATTGTTTGAATTAGATATCACTGTTGTGATCAGCAGAGCCAGGCAGAGCCCATGATGTATGTACAAGCTGGAAGCCTGAAGCAGATTGTAGTGTAAGCAACATCAAGATGTGTTGTGGAGGAGGAGGGAAATTCAGATTTTAGGCTGGCTGTTGCCTTTGGGCACTGAACTGAAAACGAACTTGTCTTATGTGGGTGTTACAGGGAAGAGTGTCCAAAGGGTATATCTGGTTCCAGCTAGTGAGCCTGTACCTGATACAGAGCCTGTATCTGCCCAAGGGGGACACCCTGCTACCTTCCATTGCAGCAACAGCATCGTCCCCTTAACACATCCAGACTCCACCTAAGGACTGTCCCTGCATCCAGGCTTTTGTGGCCCCAGCCTAAGAGTTCTAAGTTTCCAGCTGGGAGCTGGAGATAGAGTGTTGATAACTTTTCTTCTAGTATTGAATGTAAAGTTCATTTTCCAGAAATTATTCCAGCTGTCAGTTTTTTCTATGCAGTTTCTTGCGGGTGATTGTTTACTAAAATGTTTGGAGCTCAAAAAGCAGAAATAAGTGTGCACAAGGAATATTCTTTTGAAACTGTAAATTGAGTGTCTGAAGGAAATGTTGAGTGCTCTGGAACAAGTTTTCACATGAATTTCAAGTTATTACCAGTTAGAAGCTGCTGAGTTTCTTGAGAATTATATTTTCATGCTAAAAGTCATTCACAGGTAGCCTCTAGCTATAATTCCATCTGTGACCAGATCAAACTGAATTATCTGCTACCTTCTACATTTCCATCAGTAAAGTACCAATTCAATGCTTTTAGGGGCTGTCTAGAAAAAAAATTAGAAGCCATTCAATGTGTTGGGTCAAAAGACCTGAGAACTGAGGTCAGACCAGTTCTGGCCATGGTTAGAAATGAAGCATAAGCAAAGAGGAGGCTGTTGATTTGGCAGTACCAGTTCCTCTTCCTCTAATGCAAGGTCAAAACAAAAGTTTGTGTTTAGAGAAGAGCTGCTGGAATACCTGCTGTTCCATCTTTTTAGACTTATTAAGCACTTTCCAAGGTTTTCCATTTATACAACACTGATATAATTAATATGAAGAACTAAGGGGATTCTGAGCAGTGTGGGATGAATGCTGACATCTGTATCTGATCCACTATCAGAAAAGAAACAACCCAAAATGACAAAGGCAAGTTGATGGTCAAATCTATTCTTGCCAACACCAATGACTAAGCCAGGAGCAACACTTATTGCTCTGATCCTAGGCTGAGCTCTGGAAATAGAGGACAAATCTTCTGATTTGTAAACTAAGCAAATCAGGCTATCCAAAACTGCAAGCAGCTTCCTTTGTAGCTTTCCCTAGTAGTCCTCCACCATAACAATTCATGCAACATTGAAGAGTAGCACCAGTAATCTTTGCCAGCACTTTATAAATAGCAATGATAAAAGGCATTTCTGGTTCATCCATTGACTGAAGTTTGCATCATTTTCTACACCAAATCAGAACCCTTTCTGCTGATTTTTAAGCAACTCCTCCTTAATCAGTGAAGGCAGTGAGGGTTTTACAGGCATAGAATTTAGGTGCATTATCTTCTTTCACTGCCCCATTTACAGATGAATGGTTTCTCTGACTTTCCCATGGCTTTCCTAGCTGTAAAATTTAATAATTTATTATTGTTTATCTTTTCACTATATTTCTAGATGTCTGCATCACTGATTTGTACTGGAATTCCATTTTTAATGGTTGTATTTTTTGCCTGAATAAACATCAACATTCATTATTTATAACTTGAGGCATCTTATATCCAAGTCTTTGCATTGTAATTGGAGCTTTGTTTAAATGCTGGCAGTGAACTTCAGACTCTCCTCTTTGCAGCAAGTTTCCTTATGTTGGCCATGCCTAGAGAGCTTTCACTTTGTGATACATCTGGTAGATTTAAACAGGAGCTTGTGTAATAATCCCTGGAACTGTTGAAGGGAAGGCTTAATGAGACTTTAAGCAACCTGATCTGGTGGAAAGCATCCCTGCCCATGGCAGGGGGATTGGAACAAGATGATCTTGCAGGTCCGTTCCAACCCCAAACCATTCTAGGATTGCATAGTT